TACTGGAATTGATCCGCGATTTGATCCTTTGACCGTGCAGAGCGAGCCTTACTCCACCTCCTCCTCCTCCTTATGACCGACCTTATCCAGGAAAAATTCGTTTTTTTTTGGACTGAAATCGCTAGTCTTTCATTCTGCGCAACTACGCTTCAGCTATTTTGCGGTGGAGGTAGTATAGTGGCAACTGGCAGTCTCACAACGCGCGCGCGGTCCATGGGCCAGATCCTAGATCGGTTTAACCCGTGCGAACTAAGCCTTGTATCCTATCGTCCTCTCTGACGACGATCCCGTTCCTTTGTCCCTTCATCGTCTGAGTCAACGAGCCCTCTAAAGTTCTCCCTTGCCTGATTCGGAGGTCAAGCTGATTCACGAGAAATCAACTCGACTGGATCTTGCGGCTTTCGTTCTCAAGTCAGTCATAATGACCACTCGTTACCGTTTATAATGAACATCTTAATTAATTAATTGTTCTTGTCGATATACTCGTAATACCACTAAACCACCCCTAGGCTATTCTCCAGTACAGTCTATAGCGAGTGTCGCCTGGGCAACGTAAAAAATTTTTTTTTTTTAAAAACTTGGCCTTTTAGCATCGGCTGGCTCCGCAAGTTTATTGCAAGCGCCACATCGCATACAGTCAAAGCTATTATGGATCCTGAATAGAGTTAGGATTGTCTGCCGCCAAACACCACCCCAACCCCCAAAAAACAAGGGACCATGCGAGCACCTGTGACATAATTTGTCACCCTGCATCTTTCAATTAGCGGGGATTCGTTTATTGTCTCCCTTTGTGATGCCTTATATATAATCATCATAACTTTGGCATCCAAATAACAAAAAACGTTTGCACTCTTGCGATTGTGAATCATGCAATCGATGTGCAATGTAGTCTACGCTTAGCAATCCCCATACATTGCTGAATGTGCGTGTGCCTGTGCGTTATTTTGTGATGTGGCGCCGTGAGTGTTTATTATTCATGCTCAGCGAAAGCACGTCTTAATATTCGTGAACACACCATGCTGCTGATCAACGCTTAATGGCACCTGTCTGGCTCTCTGATAATTTTGTCATACTTGCTGCAGCTACTTGCATCTCTCTAAAGACTACATATGTCTTGCTAGGGAGCTTGGATGACTATTGACCGCAGTTTCGTGCGGATAGGAGCACTTTCTTTTAGCGTCTTAAGACATTTTTCAACCAAGAATGTCTCCAGCCTCCATCTGCTGTTTCTAATATTTTCCTTTCTTGATTTTTCTTGGTTCCTTGCCGCTTCCTTTATCGGTCCCGTCAGAGGCTCTTGTCAGAATCATGTAACGAGAAAGAACCCCTGTAACCCTTCAGGAAATATCCACCTGAGCAAATACCCTGTATCCCCTCAATGCCCTGAACAAAAATGGCCGCACCGCCTGGTTTACGGCGTAAGCTTTATACCTTTTCATGCAGATTCATAAACCCGTGCTGATTTTTGGGAAAGTGTGAAAGCTGCCTTACTTAGCTAGCCTCACTTGTTTGGGCTCTGTTCCAATTTCCAGAAGCCAACTTGATAGTGAAAATAAGCTTTTGAATTAAACTAGCAACATTCCGAGCTGAGTTTATTGATCAGTGGAATACAAATATTTTTTTTTCGCATGTTCGCAGGCCTGGCTACGAAATTCCACGCTGTTCTTAACGTTTGATATCTTTTCAGTAGTTTGAATTCCAAGTCCAAATAATGGGAGTCAAATTAAAATTATTAATTATTATGTCGGCGATCAATGTATAGAATTGAAAATATGCGACCATAGGGAGGTAGTTGGTCTACGACGATACAACCTCGTACCGGTCACGGCCAAAAAAAAATTCTAAGGGGAAGGCGCCTATAAGGCAATATAGTTCACGACACCTTTTTTCCAGCTGTACTCCGCTCCATACTCCGCCCCCTCAAGGCCAGCCTTTCAGTGGAAAACGAAGCTGCAGGACGAAAAAGCATGAAAATCGTCACTTGTACGGTCGTAGAGTTCTTATTGGCGAATCAGCTGCGCGGGTGAGGACGTAATGTGAAAATGGAGTTAATTGGGCACCTGCCAACTGGGATCGGACTGGAGTTGTATCTAAGGCAATTGGCATGTTTTTTCTGCTTTGTTCTTCGCTATCAAATTGCCTCAGAACCTTGTCGTCTATACGCGAACTCCTAGTCCACTATCTGTGATGGCGAATGATCGCGGGCTTTGCCTGCCGGCCCTTTTTCCTAATTCAAATTTCTGAGATCTTCTTATCGTAACTGCAAGTGCTCACGCAATGCCATTTTCCATGTGCTCATAGGAGTGACAGTCGGCTATTGTGACTTGTTTTTCAGCAGATTGTCTCTGATTTTCTAATATCGACCGTCACAGCACATGCATATGCGCTGTTATATCAGGGGAGGTTGTGTGGTGTCAAATGCGACTCCCTCAGACTTTTCTCTTCCAGTACGACCCACTCTCACCATCCCTTCAAGTCCTTCCCAACTCAATGAATGTTCCGAAAGTGTCCGATTTTTTCCCCAAAAGGAACGGGGAGCAGCGAGAACGTAAAACCGCGCAGATTTCAACAAGGTGAAAACCTATCGTACTTGAGGGGGCAAATACGTTCCCCCTTTGCTCAGCTACCTAGTACGACCTCCTCGCTCCAGCGTCCAAAAACCATTTCCTCTGGGGATCCCACACCTACGACGCGCCCTGATTTTAGTAAAGAGAACTTTTCAGTGAAGAGGGTCCAGTACATTTGAAACCGCGACCATGGACGCCCGGGACGAGCATTGAGCTCTAAGTTTATTGCGAAAGAGCGCCAGAGGGGGCGGGGTTGGCCAAAGACTTTACGCGAAAAGAGATTTCTTAACCCTTGCTTCGGAATGTCCCACCTTGCTGGCGTCGCGTCGAATTCAGTTTTGAAAGTGGTCAGTTTGCCACTTCTCGTTCCAGCGGAATTAATGGTAGCAATCATGTAGAAATATTTTTTGAAGTAAAACAAGTTCCGCTCAAGTTACTAGGCACAGCTATATTAGCTCAATATGCTCGAGGTTACCAGGTCTAATGCTTTATTAGCTCAATATTTTTAATGCTGTGGCTCTTTTTTCGTGACGCACGATCATTTTCCGGTTTCGAATTGCAAATCAACAACAATCTCTTGTTTCTCAGGGACTCGTTGATACTGAGGAACGCACGATATCCTTCGATATGTTTGCATAAGGTTACGTTGTTTTGCCATACCACTACGCGGCCTTTCTTTTAGTTCTGTGAAAGATTTACGCAATCGCGATAACATTCGTTGATCGTAAGCAATCGTAGGAATTCCTTCCAGTTTCGTTTGCACGCAGGGAACATCCCCAAATTACTGCCGGTGTTGTGTTGCATTTCCCTGAAAAAGTGTTTCTGTGTCAAGTGGTTTTCTTCCGCTTAAAAAGCCTGTGTTGTTTCTAACATGTTAATTTTACGTTCAGAATGGCGTGTCACACCTGGTGTGTCATACATTTTCTCTTTGTTATGTTTGATATGTCTTATTTGGCATTTCCCTATCTTCTAAACTTCAAAGAACACGTTTCTGGACATGGGATATATGTGTAGCCCAGTTCGCTGCGGACGAAGGGGCGTGTCGGGCAGGATGAGTTTGGCGCGGTGCCAAACCGATTCTCCAGCAGTTGTTGAAGCGAGCAAGTGGCAAGATTGAATCATGTCGTTTGTCGTTCGTCACTTATTTTCTACCAGTTGTTGTCACATACCCACTTCAACAACTGGCAGAGAACGGGTTTGGCACCGTGGCACACTCATACTGCCTGACAGGCGCAAGTTCCGAGTGACGGCGGCGGGGGGGTGAGGGGGGCAAATAGACATCTTCTTATCCCATCGATGTCTCGACTCACCTAGATAGCCTTTTTTGAGTTGGCACGTGTCACCGTGATGGCTGGACGAGCTTGCTCCAGTTTCACAAGAGTTGACAAGTCTCACCAGAGATGAGGACTTTCATAACGGGCAGTGAAACAGTACTTGGGTGAGAATGTTCCCACCTTCCGCTGAACTGGTGTGCTGCCTGGGACACCCACCCTTCATCCACAGAACTGTTAGTTGCTAATTCAATATAAAATAAAAATAAATAGATTAAATTCATCGAGCACTATCGATAGGTGAAAGATTATAAACGCGTGTTCGCAATAGTGTCAATTTCCCCTCTTTCGGGCAAGGGATTCTTGCCCAATTCCATTTTTGTTCTAGGGTGGCAATTACCAGTTCTAGTTGGTCACCCGACACACCTTCATTCATCTGTTCCGTAGCAATAAAGTCTTTCCTGTGAAATCTGTAGCCTCTCGAAATCGCCTAGAAGGAAGATCAGTCAAAAGTGTTCCGTGTCCACAGCGTCATGATAGCAATGCCCAGCAATCACTATAAGGACAATTAGAGAGAATATATCAATGAATCCAATATGTTGGGGTCTCATTTCTGTCAGGATTATATTAGCAGTCATGTAAACTCTATGGCCCCCCCCCCAAACTTGCTTGCACAGCCGACTGCTACGTAGTTTGGGCTTTGGGTTGGAGCAATTTGTTCATGGGACAAGGCCTACATGTTCTTCCCCTCTCCAAAGATCTAGACTCGCGAAGAAGCGCAGACGACTAGGGCTACCGCGGATCTCGCCGAGGGGACTTTCAACAAGAGGAAAACATTGCGAAATTAATCTGTTGAGCAGAATTTATAAGGAATTTAGGAAAATATAATACTGGGGGCCTTTTCTCCTCCAACTAATGCTAACATAGCACCGCTGGTGGTGCCTCTAACACGACTTTAAAGGGAAATTGCGAAATAATCAGTTGCAAATTTCAGAAGCGAATTGACGCTGAAAACAGATAATGAATAATTATAGATTCTTCTATGAGTGACTCTCGCTACTGAAGCTTTGAAAGAGTTCTTGATTCTAGGCTTGGTCGAGGACAAGTGGTGGCCAGGTACAGCAGTCTTCCGCAGGACTCCGCATTCGCTAATTATGCGGAAATGCGGGCTTATTGGAAAAACTGCGTAAGTATTAATTAGACTATTTGGCACTGTTCGGCTTGGGAGGGGGCATTCTGCACTCTTGCTAGTCCTTTTACTAGTTCATCTCAACTTCATCACCATGGTCATCATTTCGATGAGACCTGAGAACATTTGCGAAGCGGAACGTTACCAGTGAGCCACGTTGTTTACAAGGCTTTACAGGTGTTCACAAGGTGTCCTTTACTTGCTTTGGTGAGTACCATTTGTTGCCTCCACTAAACCGTACTGCGCCGATTATCTCTTATTATTTATTCGTTGGAACTTGTAGTTTCTTGTAGTGGTAATCTCACCTACGTGCTTCTAGTATGGATACGATTTACCACTGAAAGAACCAGAGAATTACTACGATGTGTGGTTTAACGGAATACGAAGTTCGTTTCTGTGAGTCTACTCTTCATCTCATAGATTTTCATAAGTTTTATGCTTTTTCTCTCTGTTTAGATATCCGGATTTCTGTGTACTGTCTTCTGAGCCACAACCTATTGGGTTCCTCGAGGAACAAGCAACTACACTTGCCGCTATGAGCGCTTTTATGCAATCTTTTTCTTCTGAAGAGCACTTCATCTGTGGAGAATACTGTGGACGTAAGGATCGCTACTCTCTATAATCAGCGTTCATAGTTAGCGGCACTTTCGGCCGCGCGACAATTCTGCGAGCTTTTTGATTAGCGGTGGAGCGTGTGAGCGCGTTCGTCATCATTTTTGTTCTTGGTTTCAAGATCTCTGCTTTTCACGCTTCACCGCTTTTCATTGCATTGCGCCGAGCGAATCGCCGCTACTGCGGACTATAAACGCTGTCTTTTAGAATAACGAGATTAACACTGCTCTTTAGTTTTCCCTTCTGATTCGAAATTTCTCAAACCACCTGGTCGTGCACTCAAGACCACGCCGTACAGTCGAAGGGCAGCTCCGAATAAGGTGAGTGATTGCAATTTTATTCGGCCTTATTTGATGATGATAAAATTGCCGGGGCTAATTTCATGTCCAGTATAGGTTCCGTTTTTAGCACATTTTTGTAAATGAAGGACACGGCGTGGCGTCGTCTAAGCAAGAACAGAAGGAAATCTGTACGGGAGCAGGTAAGGCAGTATCGGATTGTGCTGGTAAAAGATACTCTAGGCTTGGCCAAGGTATTGGGCAGTTGAATAGAACGCCCTCAGCTTTCTGAGGCTCACGTTTTCCTGTCGCTGGGGCATTTATGCAAAATACGACCCTCCCCCCAAATTTCCTGTATTTGGTGGGCGACTTCCTGGCTATCTGCCATCTGCCATCTTTTTTTGATTTTTCCCCAAATTCTCTCCTTTTTTCCCTTTAAATAGCTACTATATTGATCTATCAAAAATAGTCCTTATATAGGATGACTGTCAATTAGAGAAGGGGTCCTCAGCGAGTCTTACCGCGGCGACATGCAGAAATTAGCCGGGCATGTCTTCGCTTGTAAACCGTTCGACATGCTTTAACACATCACATACCAATGAATTTCGTTTCTCAAGTGTTCTGATAAGAATAGGCCCGGCGGGCATTTACTCTTGTAAGCGGAGGACTCAATAAGTATCTCTTACACTCTCTATCTCGCAAATCGTAGTAGCGCTCGCCATCCTGTCGTCTTCTGGACAAAAACATGGTTGCAGCTGTCTCAAAGGAGAATATCACACCAGAAGACCAGTCTCGACGAGGAGACCAGACCTCCTCGTGGAATTGGCCACGCCCTCCCTATGCCCAGGATACGGTGTGGAACTACGCCTCCAGCACTTGTGCCGTCGTTGGAAACTAAAGTTCTTCGACAGTAAGGCAGGCGACAAAGAAAGTTGTTCTTATTGTAAAAGCGTATAAAGGATATACAGAGGGGCCAAAAAAACCAAGTCATTTTGCCTTCCATGAGCTTTCAAGGCGGCTATAAGTTCACATTTATAACATTTTTACCGGGACAAATAACTACGCATATTAAAGAGTCAGCATTAAATGCTATAACGATACTCGGCGCCAGCCCTTCTGGACCGAACGCCATCGAGGGGATTCTGGCAGGAGCCGCGATGTGGCTACGGCTGAGACTCAGCCGAGATAGTCGATTTTCTCCGCCAACCGTAAGACGCACCTTTCTTGAAGGTCGCTGGCCCGAACTAGGTAATTGAGTGGGTTCAGGTCAGGGGACATACTTCAATATTACATCTTCTTCAGGTACGAAACGCCCTTCCATTCGAAGTAGGCGGGAGTTTTTCAAAACCCTTCGATTCCATGTGGTGGCACCCAAACTGTAGCAGCACAAGGTCTCCAAGAAGGTACGGGCGACCACATGTAGGGAGGATATTCTTCTCGAGTTACTTGATGTAACCGCCAGCGCTCACCTTCAGTCGGGGTCTACAAAGAAAATATCGGTCTTCCCCTTTCCAGGTACCCCGGTCCATACCATCAACTCGCGCCTCGGCGAATACGGTGAAGATGATGTCCTAGACCGTAGCGAAGTTGACGAAGCTGCTCGATGTGGGAGGTCTTGCAGATCAAGAGTACTGACCTCCAGGTAGCTATCTGTGGATGACTTCATTCAAGAAGTTTCGCAGCTGTTTGGAGGCGACGTGAATTCCAAAGGTGTTCTCCAGTCAGGCCGCGACTGGAGATGACTTCATATTTTGGCGTACATGAAGGCGATTGGCGGCAGCGTGCTCCAGCTTATAGAGGAAGATCTTGGGTATCTTCCACTCTGGTACTCATATCCACTTCCCCTGTCTGGGCTGCGAAAACTTCGTTGATATGTGGCTCGGCCGAAATGACTTTTTTTTGGGCCCCCCCCCCTGTATATAGCTTAAACTTTACAATTTTAAGAGATGGCACGCCAGTCGCGAACAAAGGAGTACTTGCTGTTTGAGACAACACTGGCATTTGTCACGTTGTCGGAACTCATCTTCCAGCGAGTTATCAAGTCCCGTCCAAGGTAAGTTAAAATCATTTAATGCTGGCTTGTTTGTTGGAATTGGCTTTCCTGATAACTTCTTTTCTTGTTCTTTTCAGAGTCGGATCGCTCTCGGGGAACCTGAGCTTCCGTCGGCGTCTCCTAAGAAGACACCCGAGAATAGTCGAGTATGTTGTTTAACAGGTTTTTGTGAATATTATTCAATGAATTGTTTCTCTTTCTCTCTCTCTCCACCTTAAAGACGCAGTGCCTGATTGATGAACCACACCCCAACCCCACCCCCTCCACCCTTGCAAAGGGTAAGGCGCGCATGTCTACAGCTATCTAGACGACAACCGTCTGCCACTTTTACCTTGTCAAAGTGGGAGGAGTCAATATTTCAGACACGCACTCTTTTGTCGAGTGATCTTTCGATTTGAAATTAAAAGGGCTTCTTTCAAAGTGTTTTCGACGTTATTCCTTTTTCCTAATGTGCTCACCTTTTGAGGCACTCCATTTTAATATGTTAGGGGTGGGTTTGGCGCGATGCCAAACCCTTCCACTAGTTGTTGAAGTAGCAAGTGACAAAACTGTATCACGTAGTTCGGATCAGTTGTTTTCTACAAATTATTGTTGCTTATTGGCCTGTTGGAGAATGGGTTTGGCGCCGCGTCAAACTGATCCCGCCTGACGCACCTCTTTACTCGCAACGAACAAGACCATATGCTTTTTAAAGTGTTTTTCAACAAATTTTTGTTTAATTATTTCTAATTTGGCAGCTGTCACGTAATATGACGAAATTGAGGTGGGAAAAAGCTAATTATGCCTTCCATATTTCACTTTCTATGTTACTATATGTTGCCGTTGTTTCAGACGGCTCCTCAACGACTGCTAAGTTCTCAGTGTTTCACCACTACTGTTCGTGGCCGCAAGCGATGCATCGACATTGAATAGCGTCATACCTCACTTCTCACCAGTACCAGTAGGGTTTTTTCCGCAAAATATCCCATTACTATTTACAAACACTTTTATGGTCATTCCAATTTCCGGGTTTGCTGTAAGCACAGTTTGTGAAGCTTAGCTTTGGTTATTTTTGATTTGTGTTGTTTTGATAACTGCCATTTTTCTTCGCAGCTCGAAGATTATATCAAGAATGCGTGAGTTAAAGGGGAAACTCTCCGGGGCCGGAACAGGGGCCCTTAGCTTTCTGGCAGGTGTACTAGCCACTGCGCTACGGAAGCCATATGTAGCTCCCCAGCTTGGTCACTCGAGATGTAGTCTCGACTACGACGTTGTCCCGATAACTCAGCATTCTTGTGATTGTGCTCTACGGCAGCGTTCAGACTTCGCGCGATTGACAGCGCGTTGGCGCGTTGCAATTGCTACAGCGCCCCAGTCCTATAGACGCAAACGCAGCCACAGACGAGTATCGATGGGCGCCTGCCTCTTGTGTATTGAGAGTGTATAAGAGAACAGGAGGGTTCACGCAGTCTGGTATCGATCGCCACTAGCCACTGGGACTTCGGTTGAGTAGAGAGGACGCGAAGAATATCAGACTGTAGAGGGCAGTTGCCTCTCTGTCCTGTATCCCCCCCACTGTCTCAGTTTACTCAAGCGAACGGCGCGATCGAGTCCGCCTGTGCCGGTTCGGGATCTCAAGGATAGGAGCGCTGTCGCAATAGTCAGCGCGTCGCACACGGCACCACCAGAAATAAGCGCGCTGACGCGCGTTATCGCGAAGTTATTGAACGCTGCTTGCCGTTATTTCTAAGTTGTTCCAGCCTCTGACGTACTCTGGGTTGGACTGAGTTCCTCGTCTGCCAACTGTGGCTGCGTTTTAGTAGTCACTGTATTTACTTGAAATTTTCTGTTTAGCTCTTTTCCAGTAACGTCAAAAACAGTGATTTTTGACCTCATTTCGAGTACAATGACGAGTTTCTTGTCTTTCCATTGTCAATGTGATATATTGAGCAATTTGTATTACTTTTTTGATCGTTCTTGTTGTGTCCTCTTCACTGTGCCTCGAATATTTCTCTTGTTATATTTGGTTTAAGAAAATGAAAAGTTTTCGAAACGTTCATTCTGGTGCCCTTAAAATGGTGTACTTTAACGGTATACCTTACGAGCTCGACATGCTTTTATACTCTATATCGCGGACATGGGTAGGGCGTGGCTGCGTTTTTCATTTGGGCAGCAGCATGAGATTTCGTTAGAACATGTTCTTGGACACTTGCGCTCATGAACGTCCGTGCGCTGGAATCCAGTGCTTGAGGCTTCGTTATTTGGTCGCCTGAAGAGGAGGGGGAGGGGGGGGGGGGGAATCTCGCTAGGAGTTTTCTGTTGATTTTTCTAAGTCGCCGCACTCTAGTGGCTCCACCGACCCCCCCCCTAGTCCTCATCCCCAAATTTTTAGGGCTCGAGGCTGAGCATCGATTGTGGAAGGAGGAGAAAACTGGGGAGGGGTTCGTGTGGAAAATTCATCTCCAACGTTAGTACGTTTTCCTGGCTGTTGATCCTACCTCGTATTACTAAGACATAATGAATTACATATTACATGTGTCCAAACACGGCAGTATTCCGCCGCAAAAGGCGCACAGCGCCGCACGTTTAAGTGGAGACGCAGCCACCCCTCGCATATTCGGAGGACAATGGAAAGGCGTTAAGCAACTCACACGTTATTTCTTCGGAAAACATTACGTTCTGGACACCGTCACCTCTAAGGGCGTGCAGCCGACAAGTGTACCTTCAAACCCTCAATCGCTCTCCTCATATGGCTGCATTACGACTCCTCGTTTTTGTTTTTTTTTACAGTTGATTTGCTGTTCGATCATAGCGCAGAACCAAGTACTCACCATATGTCTGTGATTTGATTATATGATACTGCCATTCAGCGCTCTCAGTCATGAGAAACGACTAAACTGCTTCGCGAATGTCATTCGTTAGCACGGGAGAGTCCCAGGGTCTTACCAACGGTGTTAAGCTTGGAGAGCTAATTTCGGGCAGGTAAGTGTTTTTAGAGCCTACAGTCGGGGTGTTTTTGAATTTCTCACAATGAAGCAGTGGGGAACCAGCAGTCGGATCTGTCGCCCATTATTATTCTGGTATAGGAGCGAGTGGAGCGTTTGCTGCATGTTCCGAGAGGGTGTTAATCGTGCCGGCGTAGTTGATTCTATTACGACAAGTCGCCGCCAAACTACCACTGATGCTACTCAATTGTCGGCCACATCAAGCGGATAACTGTGCTCAAGCGCATAGATAGCCGTCTTGGCACGCTCAAAATCGCGTCATCAGGCTCGAATTCAGTGTAGATCTCTTGTCGAAATGTTGGATCATTTTTGTATCACATTCAATGATCAGCGGCCGGCGTACTGGCCTAAGAAGTCTATAGGTGAGATTGAAGCGCTAGAACCCCTTGGAAGACCTCAGTATGAAATTTTTATAAAATATTCAAAAATACTTTACAATTATCTTGCTAGAAATATATGCAGGAACGAGTGGGGCTTTTTGTGACATGAAGTCTAGTCCCTTTTGATTCGGACGCTACGCGCAATGTCAGGAGGAGGGAGGGCGTTGGGGGGGGGGGGTGCTTCTTGGTACCGCGTCAGCCCTTCCACCAATTGTTCTCGCTTGCACTGTCAAGAAAGTCGCGTGCAGAACACCGCTGGGAAAAGAATTCCATGGAAAGGACTCATCCGGCGATCATGGCGATGAGGGAATCTCCTCGTTTAGCATATTCCTGACCTTCCGCTATCTCTTTTTCTGCCAGCATCGATTGCAAAAGTTTCAGCTCTGGGACTGTTGACCTTTACCTCGTCCCTTACCTGCATTACACTTACCTCAGTGAAAAAGCGCCGCGAGCTGAGCGGCGGGGTCCATGTTGTGCTGCATACACTCAGTATCCTAGATATTGGGAGGGCGTGGAGGCAGCTGCTGTTGCGGAAGATATTTTCGTTTTGGGGAAAAGCGCAATAAACGATGACGGTTATCTCCTCGAAGGAGGATAATAAGAAAAAGATAAAGCTTTCCTAGTTTTGTATCAATCCCTTTTGGTATGTGGAAATACTACATTTTTCTGTTTCAGAACTGCTAGAGATTTTTGAACACGAGATGGCCTACAGAATGACTTGCATGGCCAGCCGATGTGCATACCAGCGCTTGTATCCTGCTGGACGGACCTGGTGTCAATTCACCGTTTCCGGAGGGGGGATGGCAGGTTGGTGAGGGGAGGGGGAATGGGTGGGGCGGATAATGACACGTAAGACTTCCTTGATCGCCTTTTTGAAAGGGCTAAGTTCTGGGCATCAATTTGATGCCGTTTTGCATTCCTTTGTCCCCAAAATAGCAAACTGTCAATGCGGCGAAGAATTTGGCTAGAAATGGAAATGGCGCTGTTATTGCCGCCTGAATCGCCCTCTTAAATCGACTGACCTGTGCGTTGGGATGATGAGAGGGGTAAAGCTGCTGTGCTTTAGCCTAATTGAGTGAAGCTGTCTTATAGAGGTATTAAAGCGCTGAAATTAGGCAGTAAATCGGCCACAGCACTAAGTGCTCTCAAAGCGGCAGATGATCTGTTGTGAATAGAGAAATGCTTGAGCTCTGGACGGAACGGTGCATAGCTTTATTCTCTAGGACTAGTGTTTCTCTTGTTCTTCATCGGTCGGCATTTGGCATGGGACGACTCGATCACGACGGTCCTGGTCAGCCTTCTTCCACTTTGTACGACGATTTTGAAACCAAATTTTCACCTGAAAAATGGAAGTATTCGATTATTTTGGTTGGTTCTCTTAAGCTGAGGTTACCTGGGTTTCTGTGACGTGAAGGTTTTTGGCGAGTTCACTGCGCTCAGCACTTGAGAGATACTTCTTTGACTCAAATCTGGAATACTCATATTTATTTGACAGAAAAATCAAAATTCAAAAAAAATTGCGAAATAAGCGGGCCAGAGAAGATTCACCAATTGGTATAGCCTTTCCTCTACTCTAACGATTTGGGTATCTTGTCTTCTTGTTTATATAAAAAGTCTGATCAGCGTTGGCACGCCGAACCTCCGAATGTTACCGAGGAATACCTCAATGGTTTGGTAAGCCTATGGTGCGAAACAGGGCACGCCATCGCGTTGTGATCATCTAATGAAAAATACGACCCCCACCACCTACTTCCATCCTCGAATACGACTTCCCTCTCCATGCTACCTACCACTTTCCTAAATTTTCCCAACTTCCTACCAATTTTTCCATTTTTTCCTAACAAAATCTGAAGTTTTCAGCCAAGAATTTTCCTTCGAGGTCGAGATCGTCAAGATTTGACTTTTCAACTATCGGAAATGTAGTTGTATTGCATCTTCCCTGCCCTCTACTCTACAGGAGTTGTCCCTCGGACAACAACGAACCAACCACTCCCCCCTCCCTCGCCAAACATAACGACCCTCCCGTTGTGATTGATCTCAACGATGGCGCTGCCTGGTGCGAAAACCATTAGCTGAGGAGACAAGAGGCGACCGTGGTGGGGTAAGGCATAACACATTCGCCTGGGAAACGTGAAGTTGCGGTTCGAGTTCGGCCCGGGACCAACATCATAACTCGGCGTCTCTTGCGATAATTTTGGAGATCATGAAGATTTACTGTTCGAATGATTATCAGAAGGGAGGACAGAGAACTCGGTTTTGGTGAACGCTAATCTCGGCTAGACGAGACTTAGGAGGACATACTGTGAGCCAAATTTTTTTTCTCTCCCCGCGCGTCGTATCAAATCTCGGATCAGTCTTAATCAGCCTTGGGCAACTAAGCTTCTATCTCACCCTAAATTTGGTCACTATTCGTCTGCGGAGGATAGAACACTTGATTTGCAAATGGGGTGACGCCACAAGTCGTTGCATGAACCATCTCGCATTCAATA